CGTCTAGTTGGCAGTTTTACCACCCTACCTCGCGCCATGTCCTCGCCTCTCAGGACGTCACCTTTGACGAGTCGGTACCCTTCTACCGCCTCTTCCCCTACCGCACTGCCCCGCTCCCTCCCCCGCCTCTCTTCCTCGTGCTAGGTGCTGCTGTAGTAGACTCCCTCCCCACTCAGGGTGCCGCTCCCTCAGGTGTGTCCCAGGTAGACCCGGTTGAGCCTGTCGAGGTAGCTGTCAACTCTCGTCCTGCTCGGGGTGCTGAGCCTGAGCGTGCGGAGCCTTGGGTTGCGGAGACTGGGGGTGCTGAGCCTAGGGGTGCAGAGTCTGGGGGTCCTGACCCTGGGGGTACTGAGCCTGGGGGTGTTGAGCCTGGGAGTGCGGAGCTTGCTTGTGCTGCGTCTAGGGGTGCTGAGTCTGGGGGTGCTGAGCCTGGGAGTGCTACACCTGGAGGAGCTCTCTCCTCACAGGAGCTGCGTGAGTGGTACTTACAGTACTGCAGCCTCAGGGGAGGTGCTTCTGGAGCTAGGGGTGCTGCTGGAGCTGGTGCTTGTACTTCCTCGCCTGGGCGGGAGCTGCCCTCTCCCCAGCGACTTTGTGAGTGGTACGCACGGCGCTGCAGTCTCAGGAGTGGCGCTCCTAGTGTCGCGGACCCTACTACTAGTGCTGCGGACCCTTGAGTTGGAGTTGCTGCTGGTGCTGCGGACCCGTGCGTTGGAGCTGCTACTCGTGTTGCGGACCTGGGCGTTGGAGCTGCTGCTGGTGCTGCGGACTCGGGCGTTGGAGCTGCTGCTGGTGCTGCAGACCCGGGCGTTGGAGCTGCCGCTGGTGCTGCAGACCCGGGCGTTGGGGCTGCTGCTGGTGCTGCACACCAGCGCGTTGGAGGTGCTAAGGGTGCCGCTGGAGCAGCTGGAGGTTCTGGTGCTGTCTCTGCTGCTGCAGGGGGCACCTCGCGGCCGCGGCCGTACTATGTTCCACTCCTTCAGCGGGTTCTTGGTCAGTCACCTCCGCCTTGTCCCCCTCCCTCTGTAGAGTGTCCACCGCCGGTCCAGACGCAGTCACAGCTACCGCCTGCCTCGTCACTTCCTAGTCCTCCCCACAATGGTCCTACAGGCGGCCTCACAGAGCGCCGTCAGCCTGCATCTCGCCCCGTATCGCCTGTGTCAAGTCCTGAGTCGCCTGTTCGTACTACTTCCACCAGACGCCGTACTCAGCGTGAGCGTCCGCCACCAGTCCCTGGCACACACCGGATATCACTGCGTCCCTCCACTGCTCCACAGCGTGTCCCTCTGCCGTCTCCTTCTGAGTCCTCTCTTCCTATTCTTGCTGACCCTGTATCTGACTCTCTTCGTGCTGCCAGTCCTACTGTTACGCGTCTCCTTGCCACTTCTGTCACTCACCCTTCGTTTGAGTCTGCTGCTGCGTCTGCCCTAGTTGCTGAGCTTGTCGACTTTGCTGCTCGCTGCCGTCTAGACTACGCTGCCAGTCTTGTCGCTGAGTCTGAGTCTGTCTGTCCTCCGTCTGTCGGGGGTGCGTGTGCTCTTAGCACGGACGTCCTTGAGGACAGACAGGAGGACCTTGAGTGTCTTGCAGCCGCCGCGCCCCATCTCGTGTCCATGCTAGTTGCCCCTGAGGGAGACCCGGATGCACCAAACATCCCGACTCCTCGATCGTACGGTGAGGCGATCGAGGGTCCCTACTCCTCTCAGTGGCAGTCAGCCATGGACACAGAGATGGCTTCCTGGAAGTCCACAGGCACCTACGTTGACGAGGTTCCCCAACCTGGGGCGAACATCGTCAGTGGCATGTGGATTTTCAGGGTGAAGCGACCGCCGGGTTCTCCGCCTTTCTTCAAGGCGCGCTACGTTGCTCGAGGCTTCAGTTAGCGAGAGGGAGTTGACTTCTTACAGACCTTCTCCCTGACCTCGAAGATGACCACTCTTCGGGTTCTGCTGCACGTCGCTGCTCAGCGTGACTACAAGCTTCACTCTCTTGACTTCAGCACAGCTTTCTTGCAGGGCAGTCTGCACAAGGAGATATGGCTGCGCTGCCCTCTTGGCTTCACTGGGTCGTTCCCTCCTGGTACCCAGTGGAGCCTCCTGCGGCCGGTCTACGGTCTCCGCCAGGCACCACGTGAGTGGCACAACACACTGAGGACTACACTTTCGGCACTTGGGTTCTCTCCTTCTACTGCTGACCTGTCGCTGTTTCTACGCACCGACACCTCACTGCCGCCGTTCTACATCCTCGTGTACGTCGACGACTTGGTCTTTGCCACAGCTGACAATGAGTCTCTCGCCCACGTGAAGTCGGAGCTGCAGAGGAGACACACGTGCACTGACCTGGGTGAACTGTGCAGCTACCTTGGCTTGCAGATCACCCGGGACAAAGCACGCCGCACCATTACCCTGACTCAGTCACGCGTGGTGCAGCAGGTCGTTCAGCGCTTCGGCTTCACTTGGTCCTCAGCACAGGCCACTCCTCTGGCTATTGGTCACTCGCTCTCAGCTTCGCCTTAGGATGAGTCCGTAGAGTCGAGTGGTCCTTACCCAGAGTTAGTTGGTTGCCTCATGTACCTGATGACTTGCACTCATCCTGACCTAGCATACCCTCTTGGCCTTCTGGCTCGCTACGTGGCTCATGGTCGTCACCGAAAGGTGCACTGGGATGCTGCAAAGAGGGTATTGCGCTACTTGTGCAGTACATCAGGCATGGGGCTCGTGCTTGGAGGAGGGAGCTCAGTTGTTCTCACTGGGCACTCAAACGCTTCTTTGCCTGACGACCAGGCTACTCAGCGGTCGTCACAGGGTTACACCTTCAGCCTTGGCTCTAGTTCAGTTTCGTGGCGCTCTACTCGTTCTCCTTCGGTTCTTAGCTCCAGTTGTGAGGCTGAGATCTACGCCACAGCCATGGCTGCACAGGAGTTACGCTGGCTCACCTACCTGCTGACCGACCTTGGAGAGCGGCCTAGTTCTCCTCCAGTGCTGTACGTCGACAACAAGGCTGTCATTGCCTTGTGTCCGGAGCACAGACTGGAGCACAGAACGAAGCATATCGCTCTCTGTTACTTCCTTGCTCGTGAGCTTCAGCAGCGTGGTCAGCTTCGTCCGCGCTATGTGGCCTCTCAGGTCAACACTGCTGATGTTTTCACCAAGGCACTTCAGCCTGGTGATCATCAGCGCTTCTATACTTTGTTGGGGCTAGTGCCCACTTCGTCTCAGTTGTTGTAGGCTTTGCCTGTACTGTGATCTCTATATATACTCCTGCCTGTTTGCTCTGCTAGGTTGAGATCACCCTTGCTGTCTGTACTACTTATATATACTTCTGCATGTACTGGCCTTGTGGCGATTTGCTTGTGCTCGGATTGTGTGGTGACTTTGTGATCCACCCTGAGCTTGCTTGCCTTGCTTGACTGGTTTGGTGACCCCTTGTTCTCCCCCACTTTGCCTATGGGGATGTGTCAAACACTATATGTGTTATTATTGTGTAGGCTATAGTGGGTTAGCCTTTAGGGGGTACACAAAGTTAGGGTTTCCTACTTGTACTCCAACTTTCTTAGTTCAATCACTTCTTGTTTGTTACATCGTCGACGTAGGTGTCAAACTTATATCATATAGATTGTCTAGGCTCTAGTGGGGTAGACACTATGGGGTACAGTTTCCTAGGATTTCCTACTTGTACCCAACCTTGTGCTAGTTCATTCATTCCTCATTTCTTCACGTAGTATAGAGCAGGTTCCCTAGTGGGAACGCTTCCTTGGGCCCACCACGGAAACTTTTTTTCTGACCGTAGTGTCAAAATTAGCTTAGAACCTAGGAAACTAGGTGAGGGTGTCGAGAGTAGCAAGAGGGAAGAGGGGTTCAATAAAGAGCAAAGGTACAAAGATATAGGCAAGAACTAGGGTAATGAGGTGCACCACAAAACGGGAAACATAACTACACTAACACTACAGACAATTATATAGATATGAATAACATATTTCGACACGTAGTGTCAGTCGCTCCTGCCCAAGGCGCGCCTTGTTCGCCGCCCTTCCAGGCCCCTCGCGGCCCCTAGCGGCCTCGTTGCCGCCCCTACAAGGCCCCGTCACCGCCCCTAGCGGCCCCGTCGCCGCCACTAGCGGCCCTGTTACCGCCTCTCTCCCTACGCGGCCCCGTCGCCGCCCCTACGCGGCCCCGGCGCCGCCCCTAGCGGCCCCCTCACCGCCCCTACGCGGCCCCGTCGCCACCTCTCTACCTATGCGGCCCCGTCGCCGCCCCTACGCGGCCCCGTCGCCACCCCTAGCGGCCCCGTCGCCGCCTCTACCGGCCCCGTCGCTGCTCCCCTCCCTACGCGGCCCCGTCACCGCCACTACGCGGCCTCCGGGCCACCCCTACGCGGCCCCGTCGCCGCCCCTACACGGCAACGTAGCCGCCCCTAGCAGACCCGTTGCCGCTCCCCTACCTACGCGGCCCCATCGCCACCACTATGCGGCCTCGTCACCAACCCTACGCGGCCCCCTCGCCACCCCTACGCGGCCCCATAGCCGCCCCCAGCGGCCCCGTTGCCGCTCCCCTCCCTACGCGGCCGCGTCGCCGCCCCTAGCGACCCAACGCCGCCTCTGCCGGCCCTGTCGCCGCCTCTACCAACCTCGTCGCCGCCTCTACCAACCCCGTCGCCGCCTCTACCAACCCCGTCGCCGCCTCTACCGAGCCGCCCAGCAGCTGAGCCGCCCAACAGCCGAGGCGCCGAGCCGCCCAGCAGTCCAGCCGCCGAGCCGCCGAGCCGCCCAGCAGCTAAGCCGCCGAGCCTCCCAGCAACCGATCCGCCAAGCCGCCCGACAGCCGAGCCGCCCAGCAGCCAAGCCGCCGAGCCGCCGAGCAGCCGAGCAGCCGAGCCGCCGAGCCGCCCAGCAGCCGAGCCGCCAAGCCGCCCTCCCGTCGAGCCGCTACTGTTCCTACTGGCGCGCACCGGCCCGACTTCCTCCGACTGGTGAGATCACTCCATGCTAGGCCACTGCAGTCATGGCTACCCCCAGTGTCCTTACTTTTGATGCTGAGGGTCGTGCTGTTGACTTTGAGGTCTGGGTCGATGACCTCCAGCTGTTCCTACAGTGCGATAGGGCAGACAGACTCTCCGTGTTCGATCTCACCTCTGGTGCCTCTTCTGCCCCGCCTACTACTAGTGACAGCACTGTTCGCTCACATTGGGCCACACGCGATGCTGCTGCCCGTCTTGCTGTGCGCCGCCACTTACCGACTACTGAGCATGCGCACTTTAGTCAGTACAAGAGTGCGAAGACCTTGTACGACGCTGTAGTTGCACGCTACTCTTCCCCTGCCACTACTGCGCTGAGCCGCCTCATGCTACCGTACCTCTTCCCTGACCTTGCTACCTTTCCCACAATCGCAGACCTCATTACGCACCTTCGCACTAGTGACACTCGCTACCGCGCTGCGCTTCCTGCTGAGTTCTATGACAAGAACCCCCCCCCCCTCCATGTACATCACCCTCTACTACATAGCCACCCGGCTCCCTGACACCCTTCACTTAGTCAGGGACCACTTCCTCTTAGTTTTCCCCACCACACTCACCGTTGACCTCCTCGAGGAGCGCCTCCTAGCAGCAGAGAAGAGCACAGTTGCTCTAAGAGCCTCTCGTGGTGACCCTCGCACCCCCGTCTTTGATGGGTGTTCTCCCTCCCCCCCTCTTGCCCTCTCTTCCTTCTGCTGCTGCGGCCGACCTCGTTGGTTTCGAGTCGGTCGGTGCTGCGTCTACCCCTTGCGAGAGACGCCGCAGCGGTAAGGGCAAGGGGGGCAAGGGCACTGGAGGGGCTTGCGGGGGCGCTGGAGGTGGTGGAGGAGGTAGTGGAGGGGGTGGGGGTGGTGGTGGGGGTGGAGGTGTCGGTGGCAGCATTGGAGGCGGAGGAGGCGGCGGCGGTGGCGGAGGGAGCGGAGGCGGCGGAGGTGGAGGAGGCGGCGGAGGTGGCGGAGGAGGCGGCGGCAGCGGTGGAGCTGGTCGTGGCTCTGCGCAGAGGAGTGGGTCAAGTGGTAGTCCGCGCCAGCAGCAGATCACTCGGGACAGAGCACAGCGCACCATTACTCTGACTCGGTCACACATGGTGCAGCAGGTCCTTCAGCGCTTCGACTTCACGTACTCCTCGCCTCAGGCCACTCCTCTGTCTACTCGCCACTCGCTCTCAGCTCTACCTTCGGATGAGTCCGTAGAGCCGAGTGGCCCATACCCAGAGCTTGTTGGCTGCCTCATGTACCTGATGACTTGCACACGACCTGACCTTGCATACCCTCTTAGCATCTTGGCACGCTATGTTGCTCCTGGGAGACACTGACGAGAGCACATGGCTGCAGCGAAGAGGGTGTTGCGCTACTTGTGCAGTACGTTGGGCATGGGGCTAGTGCTTGGAGGGCGGAGTCCAGTCGTCCTCACAGGTCACGCAGACGCTTCTTGGGCTGACGACCAGGCTACGCAGCGGTCGTCACAGGGTTACACCTTCAGCCTTGGTTCTGGCTCTGTTTCGTGGCGGTCTACCCGCTCGTCTTCTGTTCTCAGCTCCAGCTGTCAGGCTGAGATCTACGCGGGGGCCATGGCTGCACAGGAGCTACGCTGGCTCACCTACCTGCTGACTGACCCAGGAGAGCCGCCTCGTTCTCCTTGTTGGTGCAACCCTACGATTTGCACTCGGCTTGTTGTCCGTGTGCGTGCATGTGTGTGTATGGAATGGTATGAGCACATGGGATAATATATATTTCATGCTTATAATTGTGTGTGGATGTTGAGTCATGATGTCGAGTGTGTGTGTGTCGAGTCAATAGCGAGTTATCGCTAGACGCGTGTTACGCGGTCGTTTGTGTTTCGCGCGCGGTTTCTATTTTGTCCTGTGTCGAACGTTCGGCGTGTCGCAGATGTGTGCAGAAGACCCATCAAGAACTCAAGGATGAGTTTGTGATCAAGAGCCCGAGCCTTGGTGTCAAGCCTCAAGTGATTTCGAAGCTCATCATAAGGGTGCACCTCAAGATATTGAAGATAGTTACCGTACTTTGTGTAGTGTAACATTTCACTTGGTGTAGGCCCAAGTGAAGGGTAGTTTCGAGACCCTTCTTTGTTGGTGACAGTGTGGGACTGCTCCACATCACTTTACCTCGGCTCTTGGGGTTTGTAGGAGCTGGGAGTCATTCTCAACTCGTAACTCTTCCTAAGTCTTCCTATCTTGTGTTTTAAGACTATGTTGCTGCCATAGTGCCGTTCTTTCAAACCGTTGCTGTGTCGTCTGTTCTTAATGAAAACGTGCGATCTAAATTGCCTATTGTAGGCGACGTTAAGGCGCTCCAGATCCAAGTTGAATGAAGTCATTTGGAGTTGTGAGCAGATCGCTATGAACGTTTGAAGCCGCTGTGCAGAAATCCGACTATGCACTCTATCTTTCGTTTTAGGCACATTGGAGCCTACTGTGACTATAACACTCCTCCAGTTCTGTACGTAGACAACAAGGCCATGCTGGCCTTGTGTTGGGAGCACAGACTAAAGCACAGAACGAAGCACATTGCTCTCCGCTACTTTCTTGCTCGTGAGCTGCAGCAGCGTGGTTAGCTGCGCCTTGCTCGTGAGCTGCAATAGCGTGGTCAGGTGCGCCTTGCTTACGTGGCCTCTGAGGCCAACACTGCTGATATCTTTACCAAGGCACTTCCGCCTGGTTCTGCGCTTCTGTACTATGCTAGGTCTTATGCCTACTTGGCCTCACTTGCTCACTTCTTGACCTTGCTTGTACTGTGATCTTTTTATACCTGCACTTGCCTATTTACCTTTATATATGATCTTGCATGTGAACTCGCCTTGTGGCCTTGTGCTCGATTTGTGTGGTGACGTTGTGATCCATCCTCAGTTTGCTTTGCTTTGCTTGACTGGTCTTGTGACCTCTTGTTCTCCCCCACTTTGCCTATGGGGGTGTGTCAAACTTATATCATATAGCTTGTCTAGGCTATAGTGGGGTAGACACTATGGGGTACAGTTTGCTAGGGTTTCCCACTTGTACCCAACCTTGTGCTAGTTCATTCATTCCTCATTTCTTCACAGTAGGTGCCTGTGGACTTCCAGGAAGCCATCTCTGTGTCCATGGATGACTGCCACTGAGAGTAGTAGGGACCCTCAATCGCCTTCGCGTAAGAGCGCGGAGTCGTGATGTCTGGTGCATCCGGGTCTCCCTCAGGGGCAAGCAGCATGGACACGAGATGAGGCAAATAGCAGCAAAACACTAGAACTCCTCTTGCGTGTCCTCAAGAACGTCCGTGCTAAGAGCACACTCACCCCCGACGGACAGAGGACAGACAGACTCAGACTCAGCAACAAGACTAGCGGCGTAGTCAAGACGACGGTGAGATGCGAAGTCGACAAGCTCCGCAACTAAGGCAGATGCACTAGTGGACTCAAAGGAAGGGTCAGGGACAATAGTGGCCAGGAGACGCGTGACAGTAGGACCGGCAGCACGAAGAGAGTGAGACTCCGGGTCAGGAAGAGCAGGAAGAGAGGACGCAGGAGGAGACGGTAGAGGGACACGTTGCGGAGCAGTAGAAGGACGCAGTGCGATCCGGTACGTGCCCGGGACAGCAGGAGGACGATGACGCGGAACCCGACGACCAGTGCAAGCAGCACGAACAGGTGACGCAGGCTAAGACTCAGGCTCATGACGCTCAGCAAGACCTCTGGTAGGACCAGTGTAAGGAGAAGGAGCAGGCAGTGGGGAGGCGGGCTGTAACTCTGACTGCGACTGGACAGGCAGTGGACACTCCAAGGAAGAAGCAGGACCAGTGGAAGGCGGGAGACCAAGAACCTGCTCAAGGAGCGGAACGAAGTACGGCCGCGGCCGCGCAGCGCCTCTAGAACCAGCAAGGGCAGCACCAGCACCCCCAGTGTCAGCGCCAACTCCAGCAGCACGACCAGCTCCACCAGGACCTCCAGCAGCTCCAGCAGCACCAACACCAGCAGGACCGGCTCAAGCAGCACCTCCAACGCCAGCACCTCCAGCAGCTCCAGCTCCAGCAGGACCACCAGAAGCCTCAGCAGCACCAGTAGCGCCAGAAGCACCCGGTCTAGTAGCACCGCCAGCTCCAGACCCTCTAGCAGCACCAACACCAGCACCACCACCACGCCCAGCAGCTCCAGTACCTCCAGTACGAGCACCTCCGGGACTAGTGGCTCCAGAACCCTCAGCAGCTCCAGCAGCAGCAAGACCTCGAGCGCCCGCAGCACCACCAGCTCCAGCAGCACGGCTCCAGCGGCGAGCAAACCACTCGCGCACCTGCCGTGGAGAGAGCGCGCAGCACCTCCAAACTCCACACGCACAGGCGCAGCAGCACCTGGCTCCGCAACCACAGACTCAGCAGCCCCAGGCTCAACACCCCCAGACTCAGCACCCCCAGTCGCAGCACCCCCAGGCTCAGCACCCCCAGACTCAGCACCCCCAGGCTCAGCACCCCCAAACCTGGCACCCACAGGCTCAGCACCCCTAGCCAGCACGAGAGTCAACAGCTACCTCGATGGGCTCCATTGCGTCTACCTGGGACACACTTGAGGGGGCATGACCCTGAGGGGGGAGGGGGTCTATCGGGGGAGAAACTGGCATGAGGAAGAGCGGTAGCGGGGGGAAGGGGGCAGTGCGGTAGAGGAAGAGATTGTAGTAGGGAACCGAGTATCGAAAGGCAAGCAGAAAGTTTAGAACAAGAAAGCAGGGCAGTACATATAGAAAATCCTAATTTGGGTTGTACTCACTATAGAGTACCCCACTGCAGACTAGACAATGATAACATTCTGACACACCCGCATAGTCAAAGTGGGGTTTAATCAGCACAGCAAGCAGGCATGGAGCAGGTTCACAAGGACAAGCAAAGCTAGAGGCATTCACAAAGGGCAAGTGAGGAGGAGGAGGCGAGACTGTAAGAGGAGAGGAGATAGAAGGCGACGGCTGAAGCTACAAACACACGGGCAACAGAAGTCACACTGGCACAGCGGCTACCGGAACAGCGCCCCGGACTACTGGAGTAACTGGCTTTGCGGTTAACTATGAGCGGCAGGAGCAACGGACCCACGGGCGACTGGCCGGAGGAGGAGGAGGAGCTGCAGGTTACCCACACGGTCACCCCCATGCCCGCCACCCCCAAACCCTAACGCAGGCACGAGTGCGGGAAGCAGCAGGGGCGGTTCACAGAGGGAAAGGCAGGCGGCGGGGGGGTCTCCTGGGCGCCACGAAGGAGCAGGGCGCGGGACCCTTGAGGGCGCCACTGCGGGTGACGGGAGGGGGGCCGCGAACGGGGCCCCGAGGGCAGCTTGACAGGCAACGGAAGGGGCCGCGCGTGGGCCCCCAAGGTGCCGCGACGAGGCGACGGAAGGGGGCGGCGCGCGGGCCCCCAAGGCGCCGCGACGAGGCGACGGAAGGGGGCGACGCGCGGGCCGTTAAGGTGCCGCGGCAAGGCAACGGGAGGGGGGGATGCGCGGGCCCCCAAGGCGCCGCGACAAGGCGACGGAAGGGGCCGGCGCGCGGGCCCCCAGGGCGCCGCGACGAGGCGACGGGGGGCAGCGCGCAGGTCCCCAGGGGCGCCACGACAGCCAGAAAACCGCAGCACACCGCGAGCGCACGGCGGGATGAAAAACGCCGTGCGCTCCAAGTGCGCGGCAGGAAGAAAGGGTCGCGCGCCCGGGGCGCTCGACAGCAGTAGAGCAGCGAAAGCATCAGGTGGGGCCCATTGAGAGGATCGACCCAGGAGGGTCGACCTGCTATAAAAGCATGTCGAAAGGCAAGCAGAAAGTTTAGAATAAGAAAAGGGAGCTTCACTAGTAAGCAAGGTAGTACATATGGAAAACCCTGATTTGGGTTGTACTCACTATAGAGTACCCCACTGCATACTAGAAAATGATAACATTCTGACACCGACTCGTCAAACGTGACGTCCTGAGAGGACAGAACACGGCGCGAGGTGGGGTGGTAAAACTGCCAACCAGGAGCGTCAAGGAGGAAGCCAAGGAAGACGCAGGGAACAGCGCTGGAGGACAGCTTGTCCGCAGACAAGTCGCGGACAAAAGCTCGAGATCCCTAGAC